TTTTCTATAGGGCTCCTTCATGCTACTTTATTGTGATGCAGAGCAATGAGAAAATAATTGCTACAAACTGCTTTTTGGTGCATTGCCCTGTATGATCATTGTAGACCTCTCAAGTCTACTGAATGAAATCTTGAATATTCAAAATACACATTGTGGCAAAGTGTGCAGCTGTGTGAGTTAAGGTGTGAACAGGCCTCACTGTTTCTAGCCTCAATACCACCAATCTATTTCAGCTTTTTCTTTACTGTTTCTTCACCTCAGTTATGCTTCCTCTTTCTATTCCTTTGCTGTCTATCTACAAGACACAAGAGTAACTCTATATAGTAGTCCCATTAAAAGCCTTTAAAAGAGTAGCCTCTTATCCACTCTATGTAGGGTTCAACTGCACCAATAATGAGCAGCTTATATTATTTATACAGTATATTTTCACAATGTGTCTGGGATAGCAGTAACAAATTAAAGTTCACCTTTCTAAAAAAAAATAACAAACATTCTTTTTATAGGAGCATGTAAAGCATTGCACCCATGATCAGAATATCACGGGTGCAATTTAAGGCTCCTGCAGAATGTCAGTGTGTCTGTTTGCTCATACCTCATATGGGCAGGCAGTTACACATTGACAGGAAGACTCATTGAACTACCTAGAGCACTCAGCAGCCCCCTGGTAGTTCATTGAGAACTACAAGCCATCAAGGGCAAAGGCGCAAAGGTTGTATGTACCGTATTTTTCGCCGTATAAGACGCACTTTTTCTTTCCCAAAACTGGGGGGGAAATGTCAGTGCGTCTTGTGGAGCGAATATGGAGCGGCCGGTCCGGTATTTCCACCGCGGCCGTGTCAGAATACCGGGCCGGCCGCTCAGCTCTGCAGCGGGACCTTACCTGTTCCTCTATCCAGCGGCGTGCTGTCTTCCCGGCTACTGTAGTGTGGGCACTGGGCATGACAGCCGGGTGCCAAGTGCGCATGCGCAAGAAGCGGTGCTTTTTGTGAATGGTAAGGCGGTACCTGGGACACATGACAGATCCCAGAAGCTGCTGGACCAATCACAAAGCGCAAGTGCTTCTCGCTCATGCGCACTGGGCACCCGGCTGTCATGCCGAGCGCCATTACAGAAGCCGGGAAGACAGCGCGCGGGCTGGATCGAGGAACAGGTAAGATCAAACAAAAACTCTGCGGAAGTAAGAGTGGGTACCTGTCAAATTCAGGTACCCGCTCCCCACCTCCCCAAAGGTCAGCAGTCATCTGTACTGTCCACAGTCTCTGGTCATCCCTGTGCTGTCCGCAGTCTCTGGTCATCCCTGTGCTGTCCGCAGTCTCTGGTCATCCCTGTGCTGTCCGCAGTCTCTGGTCATCCCTGTGCTGTCCGCAGTCTCTGGTCATCCCTGTGCTGTCCACAGTCTCTGGTCATCTCCTGTACTGTGTCCGCAGTCTCTGGTCATCTCCTGTACTATGTCCGCAGTCTCTGGTCATCTCCTGTACTATGTCTGCAGTCTGTGGTCATCTCTTGTACTGTGTCCGCAGTCTCTGGTCATCTCCTGTACTATGTCTGCAGTCTGTGGTCATCTCCTGTACTGTGTCCGCAGTCTCTGGTCATTCCCTGTACTGTGTCTGCAGTTCATTAGTTCAGAATTTTTTTTTTTCCTGTTTTCTGCCTCTAAAACCTAGGTGCGTCTTATGGTCAGGTGCATCTTATACGGCGAAAAATACGGTACTTGTAGTTCATTAATTCACAAATCTCTGTGAATGAATGAGGCAGCTGTGTTCTTTTAAAATTGTAACAGCGAGTGTGGGGAGAAAATCCCCAGTCCGTTGTCTCAATGAGGAAGGGATCAGCGAGAGGGCTGCAGGTGTGTGAACATTCACATGTTCCACCTTAAAAACGGGTGGAACATGTAACGTGTTTCCAAAGGTGAACTTATCTTATAAAGTACATAAGTGCTGTTGATTGGATTTTCTTTTTTTAATTTAAAATAAATGGTGAAATATGCAAAATATGTCTGCGTTAGCTTGGGAATCTTTTACTGTGAAATTCTGATTTTCAAACTGTCACTGCCATAACATGCACTTAGACAGGAGACTTACAGCAGTGTTTGAATCTAGACTTTGATTAGGAGGTGGGGCAGTGTAGAACGCTAGAGTATAAGTTGAATACAATGTGACAGTTATTTGAAAAGTGTACTGGAAGCCAAAATTACCTGTGTTGAGAAGCAGTCTTTAAAGGACCATTTGAAGAACATTTGCCTGAGGAACAACACCCAGGGGAAGGCAGGTTAGCATGTACTGGGAAGCTGTATGGTAATGCTGTAGCTAGAATAGGCTTGTGGCAGTAAAAACAATCATTTATAGGCAAAATGGATTGTATTTGTGCTTAGCACCTACTAATGAGAGATTTATTTTATATTTATTTAGCACTGACACATTCTGTAGTTCTTTGCAGGGTACAAAGAATCACATCAGTCTCTTCCACAAAATTTGCCTATAATGTATCACAATCATTCAGATAACTAAGTGTCATTTTGTTGGCTGCCACTTAAACTATTAATATGGGTTGGGAATATGGGCGTTTAAAGCACAGTGAGGAGACTCAACAGGGAAAACATACAAACGTCCTAGTGGGGACCCCAGATTTTATGACAGCACGTCAGTGTTTACCAATTAGTTACCATGCTGGTATGATTATCTTTGTAAAACTAACTCTAATATCCAAAATGTTTTTTTTACAGTGTATCCATTTCCTAATTTGATGAGTTTTATTTGAAGCAAAACTACAGTTTTTGTATAAAAACCCCCAGGCCACCCATCCTAGCCCTCTGGGTTAATAAAAACCTAGGACTCTCCCCTGCTCCAGTGCACACATACCTCCCTGTGGTAGCGGAAGCCTTACATCCTTGGTGCCAGCACTTTAACTTCCCATAGACTTGAATGTAGCCATGGTCCTAGTGTCTCTAATGTAGGAGTATGGCTCCATTATTGTTAATGGTGAGTCCATGGTAAGTGTGCACCCGGGTGAAAGGGGGGTGGGGGGGGCTAGAGAGGGTGGACTGGATTTTTTTTTGTACAAAATATATCATTGCACTTTAGCCTGCCTACCAGGCACTTTTACCCCCTTTCTGCCCAGGCCAATTGTCAGCTTTCAGCGCTGACACACTTTGAGTGACAATAGCGCGGTCATGCAACACTGCACCCAAACAAAATTTTTTAGCATTTTGTTGAGACAGCTTTTCTTTGGTGGTATTTAATCACCACTGGGGTTTTTTTTTAATTTTTTGATAAACAAACTAAAAAAGACTGAAAATTTTGAAAACAAAAGTTTTTTCTTAGTTTCTGTTATAAAATTTTGTAACACAAGTGTAATAAAAGCGCCACACCCTTAATACTTTAAAGCAGCAATTCCACCTCAAAGAAACAAAATAAATTTCTTAGTGCTATAACTTAAATAAAGGAATGTGCTAAAACCACAAACTATTCCTAATTTAGTGTAGAAACATTAGTGCAAAAGATATATATATCTATTCTCAATTAATATCAAAAAATATCAAAATTATGTGCAAAACTATTTTTTGCCCCTTGAAGACGTCATTCATGACGAAAGTAGTAGGGCTTGGCTTGCTGGATGCTGACGTCTGTGGATATGATTGAGTCACGAGCGCTGTAGTGAGTGTGCGGGGAACAGGAGACTGTTATACCATTTGCTGTTTTATGCTGTTTGTTATACTGGTGTTGGTGAAGACACCCTTTTTGTGAGTGTAAATCTTTATTAAAATTGTTGGATACTTTTATAAAAAAACTGGCTGCACCATGATTTTTTCTTTCATTCCCAAACATGACCTCGGTGGAGAGATATAAAAAGAGAGAGTGATATAATGCTCCTGGAACCATTTTATTGAGTGGTGGATACCTACCTTATGGATGATTGTGTAACTATTGATCATCACACCTGAGAAGTTGATTTATTGCATCTGCTCCCAGAGCAAAAAGCATTTTTTGCTGATCTAGAGATTGATCAGCATGGAGCTCTGGTGAGTTACCCAACTTTACTTTGGTGGTGGATTTTGGCACAATTTCTTTGAGAGCACCTGAATTTGAAAAGGATTTGTTTGGACATTTGAAGAAATTCAGAATTGGACAATGTTTATATTCACAAATTTAATTATTTAAATCACTTATGCACTAAAAAATAATTTTGCACATAATTTTGATATTTTTTGATAAAAAAAAATTTGTAAATAAGTAATTTTTGTCTTTCACTGATGTGCACTAATGAGGCTACAGTGATGGGCACTGATAGGCGGCACTAATGAGAAGGCACTTATAGGTGGCACTGATGGGCATTGACAGGCATCACTTGTGGGCATTGACAGGCATCACTGATGGGCTCTGAAAGGCAGCATTCATATATGGCACTGATAGGCAGCATTGATGGGCACTGTTAGGCGGTACTGATTGGAACTGTTAGGCAGCACTGATAGGCGACATTGACGAGCAGTGATAGACAGCACTGACTGGCACTGATAGGTGGCACTGATAGGCGGCAATGACTGACACTGATAGACGGCACTGAAAGGCAGCTCTGATGGGCACTGATATATGGCATTGATGTGCACTGGTAGGCACTGATATTTGTCATTGATGTGCACTGATGGGCACTTACAGGTGGCATTGATGGGCACTGACAGGTGGCACTGATGGGCTACACTGATCATCAGTGCCTTGATGATCAGTGCCCTGATGATCAATGTAATGTCCCCTCTGAGGAATGCCGATTACTAGCTCTCCTTACAAACTGTCAGCGTGAAAAGAGGGCTGCCGATAGCCGGCATTTCCTATTTACATGTGATCAGCTGTGATTGGACACAGCTGATCACATGACAGAGCCGACATCATCGGCTCTTTACAGTGATCAGTGATCCGCTGTGTCCCAATCTCTGTACAGTCTCCTTTAGATTTACCAAAACTATATAATAGGAGGACATGTCATCTATCCAATCACTATATATCCAGTCAGGTAGGCCTTTGCACTACATAGTTGATGGTAGATCTAATGGAGATTGTACTATCAGATTGTATAGTGCAGGGTGAGCTATACAGACTTCCAGGACATACTTCCCCTGTTTTCAACACTACCACCCTGCTCTACATAGGCTGCTATCTGATCACTCAGCTCCTGCACACTCTGGCAAATGAACAATCTATGTAAGATGCCTATGTTAGCAGTGGGAATGATGCTCACTGTATTAGATTTGCGTGCACCTGTGGAGGTGGGTTTGGACCATATTAAGGAGTGGGGAAGGCAGTGGCATGGTGTGTGTTAAAGAGGTCAGTTGGTGAATTGCTTCCTCTTTCTTACTGATTTTCCCAACCTAAGGTTCATCCAGGAAATAAAGAAGTTCTCTATAGATCAGACTGATGCCAAGGTAAGTGCTGGTGCAAGATATTACAGAACACTTTATTTTTTTTTCAAAATAGGCACATTACTTCTATATTAGTACATAGGGAAGAAAAAAGGTGAACTTAGCCTTTAAGTGTATCTGTCAATAGTTAAGTAGATTATGTAGTGTTTTATAATACTTTCATGATGAACAATGTTTTAATAAGGCTTTGTAAACATGGGGGTGAGAGTATGTCACATGTATACAAGCTTGCTTCAGTGTAAATAATATTTAAAAAGTGTTTAATCCTTTAAAAACTAAGTATAGTTTGCAATTATATATGTAAATAGGGGCAGCCTTTTGCGCTAATCATATACACAGGCTCTGTTTTCTGCTTTATATTGCTACAAAATGATTATGCTTTACTGCAACTTCACAGAATGCGAGTTTGTAAAGCCAGCCGTAGGCAGATTGAAATAGTTGTACATCAGTATAACCAGAATATCAGGTTTTTTTTTTATTTGATTACTTCTGGCTGCTATAGCAGTCAGCAGTGATCATTGTATTCGGTTGGCTGGCTCTCAGAATTCAATAGCGCAGTAGGAGGGATTTTCCCCCACCAACACTGACTGTTGGGAGCCCCAATTTATTTTCTGCTCTGAAACCGTGGCTCCTATTAACCACTTCCCGACCTGCCGTTGCATATAAACGGCTGGACGGTGGCAGTGCAGGGTCGGGTTGCCGTTTATAAACGGCCTCCCCGCACCCTGCTTGTGCGCTCTCCCTGGGAGCGCGCAGCACCGCGATCCGGTGCCCGCTGTGTCCTCCGGACACAGTGAAACATTGATCGTCGGACGGGACCTCTGTACGAGGTCCCAATCATGTGATCACTGGTTGGCCAATCAGTGATCACATGCAAAGTAGTAAGCAAGATGTCACTTGTGACATCATTGCTTACTACGTGTGAAATCTGTGAATGATCACAGAGGTCACATGGTACAAGCCTATTCACAACAGGCTTGTACCATGTGACAAGCTGTGACCAATCACAGCTCACTCAGTACTTCTCAATGAGTGCAAGAATGCACACAGAGAGAAAGAGAAATGATTGCTTTTACAGCCTATATGGGTGTAAAAGCAATAAGTAAAAAAAAAAAAAAAAAATCTTCATCACCCCACACAAGTAGTACAGTGTCACCATGGTGACACTGTACTGCTAGGGTAATAGTATGTAAAAATAAATAAATCATAAAAAAAAAATAATAATATAAAAAAATAAAATAAAAATGTAAAAAAAACTGTTTAAAAATTATGATTTTTGGTTATAAACTAATTTGGATTTTTTTTTTTACTAAAAAGATAATGGAATAAATTTTGGCAAAGATTTATGATGAAATATTATTTATTTGCAAAGTTTTATAAAAAAACACTTTTTTTCAAAATTTTTGGACTTTTTCATTTACATAGCAAAAAAAATAAAAATCCCAGCGGTGAATAAATACCACCAAAATAAAGCTTTATCTGTCTCAAAAAAATGGTAAAAAATTCATTTGGGTACAGTGTTGCATGACCGTGCAATTGTCATTCAAAGTGTGATAGCGCTGAAAGCTGAAAATTGCCCTGGTCAGGAAAGGGGGTAAAAGTGTCCGGTCTGGAAGTGGTTAAAGTGATATCATGGAATGTCAGGGGGTTGAACGTCAAGACCAAACGATTCCTAGTCTACCTATCTTAATACCTACAACCCTCATATACGCATATTGCAGAACACTCATCTCACGGGAAGTAAGGTCCTTAGCCTCAAGAAGCCATGGGTTTGGTCACTATTATCATGCAACCTACTCCTCCTATACAAGAAGCATTAGTATATTGGTTAGGAAGACTTTGGTGTTCTCCCTGTTGGACCTTAAACTGGACCCAAAGGGCAAATATGTTTTACTTCACACAGTGATTGATTCTATAGATATGGTGATTTTAGGGGTGTACTTTCCTCTGCTGGTGCACTCCATCCACATTCATAAATTAATATCTCTCCTGGCTTTGTACCCTTCCACAAATATTATTGTAGCGGGAGATTTCAACATGACTCCTTCCCAGTTGTGGATAAATTGACTCCAGATACAGCTAAAGACTCAGCATTGTCTAAGTGGTTGGCCCTCTATGGGCTCCAGGACGCCTGGCACTGGAAACACCCTGATGACAGGCAGTACATCTGCTTCTCTTCTTCATATAACACCATGTCTACCATTGATATTATGTGTTCAATGAGTTACTAAGACACAAGAGGTCTCCATACTCCCTAGGGGTATCTCTGACCATGCCTCTGTCATGTTGACTCTGCATGTTCAATAGAGCACCCTTGGACAAGATTTGGAGACTTTCCCGGTATTGGATTTCAGATGAGAAAGTTGAGACTCAAGCTGCTGAGGGGGCTTATAGGCCTCTTAATGATTGCTCAGTGCCCTCAACGATACTATGACATGCCTTTGAGGCATATGTGAGCGGTCAGTACCAAACCCTGATAGCTGATACTCGAGTTAGTACTCACACATTAGAGTCCCTTAAATACTAATGCCCAGACCCTTGAAGAACAGTATGTGGAGACTTATCTAGACATGCAGCTTTCAGATCGGAAGGTTAAGCTCCTTAGGGTGGAGACTGCAAGGAAGCAGAGACTGCACCAAACACAGCACATCTTTGAACAGGGCATGGCTTGGCTTTCCAAGGAAAAGACCCCTGTCACATCTATAGCAAGTATTAGTGATACTGATGGCACCCTTTTGACTGACGCAGTAGCGATCAATGCTCAGTTTGCCATATTCTATCAAGAGTTATATTCAGCTAAAGTCCAATATTTAGATGTAGATCTTTCTAATTAACTGGTGGATATAGAGTTCCCCACCCTGTCCATAGAACAGCAACAGAACTTAGTTTTCCTATTACATTAGAGGAAGTACAACAAGCTATATATTCTATGCAGTCTGGGAACACTGGCCTACATGGCCTCCCCTCTGAGTTTATAAAACTTATGTTGAGACACTGGCTCTTAAGTTTCATGAGCTGCTTGTTGCAACTCTGGAAGAGGCATCCCTTTCAGCCACTATGTCCCAGGCCATTGTGGTTGTTCTTCCCAAAATGGGCAGGAACCCTGAGTTATGTTTGTCCTACCACCCTATATCTTTGCTCAATGAGGACGCTAAGATAGTAACTAAAATTCTGATTACTCGTCTTAATGGTGTCATCCTATCCATAGTCCACAGTGATCAATTGGGGTTCATGCTCGGTAAAGGTATGGACATTAATATCTGCCGGTTGTTTACTATCTTTGGTTCTTCGGTGTCCGGGGACTCTCCTGGGTTGGTGGCCTCTCTGGACACGGAACAGGCCTTTGACTCAGTTGAATGGCCCTTTCTGTGGGAGGTTTTGCTTCGGCCCTTAGTTCATATCTTGCCTACGGATGCTGTACACAGCTCCTGTGGTTAGAATCTGTACGGATGATATACTATCCACAGAATTAAGACTGTTCCGTGGAACCCAACAGGGATGTCCACTGTCCCATGGTCTATTTCTCCTGGCCATTGAACGTCTAGCAATTAGAGTCAGGCAATCCATTAGAATCCAGGGAATTTTACGGGGACCCTGGTGAAAATAATTTTGCTGTATGGCGACGACACCCTCCTCTACCTGGGGGATGCCTCTTCATCCTTATAGGTGGCTTTGGAATTAATTGACCAATTTGGCCTTTTTTTTCTGGTATAAAGGTGAACTGGGACAAATCTATCTCTCTAAGCCCAGTGGGGGCCTCTGTGGGTACTGCTACTCTACTACTATGGGTGTCGAACTTTAAATACCTGGGGATTGGGGTTCAGAGGCAGTTATCTGCATACCTGCAAGGCAATCTTTCTCTGGTCCTCTCTAAGTTGTCTGGAAATCCCTGCCATTGACCCTGGTGGGCAGAGTTAACCTGATTAAAATTACTTTTCTACCCAGATTCCTATGTGTTTATAGACACCCCTCTCTCCATACCAAAATCCTTCTTTAAGAAACTTGACCAAATGATTACGTCCTTTGCTTTGGCAGGTAGCGTTCCCCGCATAGCCAAAGCTACCCTTCAGTTGCCTCCCTCCCTGGGTGGCCTGGCCCTCCCCTGCTTCCAGAAATACTATTGGGCCACAGTCCTAATGAGATTACGCTTGAGGTTCTTCCAGATGTCAGACAACCCAGCTGTGGATCTGGAGGCATCCCTGCTAGGCTCCTATTCTGAATCGAGTAATCTAGTGTTTAGGGGTCCCGCTCCAATCCCGATGTAACTGTACCTATAAAAACTACTTTGAAACTGTGGAGGCAAGTTGAGGTTTCCATGGGGGTTTGTGAGGTGTGGTTTTCCACATACCCCATTGTGGGGTAATCCTAGGCTGTCTCATTTTCAGACAATCCCCGACTCTATTTGTGCTCAATATAGGGTAAAACCACTATAGGATATTATCTCTGGAGGTCATCTGAGGACCTTTGATAATCTTAAGGCTCCCCACCACCTACCCAACAAAATGTTTTTCCACTACCTACAGCTTAGGTATGCGGCACAGCCTCAATTTACCTTTCCACTAGAGTTGAATTCCCACCAGGCAGAACTACTGCTGTTATCTGAGCAATGATACAAGCCTCTTTTCTCCCTCTACCACGGTCTAGCCCAGTCTGATACATCCAGAGTATCCCCTAAGAGATGGGGATTGGGGTCGGGTAATCAACAATATCTTTTCCTTATGATCTCTGCCAGAGATAGAGGGATCCAGTTGAAATTCCAACATAGGGTGTACTACTCTGCCCACAGATTGTCCACCATCTACACTACTGCAGACCCTACCTGTCCCAACTGCTGTAGCTCATTTGGCACATTTTTATATATGCTGTGGTCTTTTCCTCTTTTGTAAATCTTTTAGGAGATGGTGGCCTCCAAAGTGGGATCCGTAAGTGGATTGGTGATACCTGTGGACCCGTTTATGCTTTTACTAGGATTATGTGACAGGATTGCCACTACATATCATACTAGATTGTTCCTGTTTTATGCCTTTTATTATGCTAGGAAAGCTATTCTGCTTAAATGGAAGATGCCAGAACCGCCTAAAATATCTCAGTGTCGTACTTTGTATAATAATGTTCTCCAATTGTGCAATCTCACATATTTAGAATGTAACTTCCCCCAAGAAATTCCACAAGGTATGGGACTCCTGGGTTAAATCTCGGGACCTTACATTCTGAATACCTCTCCTCTTTTCTTTTTCCCTGCTTCCCCTCTCCTTGCTCCACTAAACTCCCTATATTTTATTCTTCCTCTTCCCGGATTGTTTTCCAACAACTGGTAAGTGTTAATATTCACTGTATGGACCAACTAATGTCTACTATTACATGCTTTTGCTGTAGACCCGGGTGGTACAATCCACTGCTGTGTCTGTCTGCAACCTCTGTGACCTGGGAATTTGTGTTGTCCCTATTGATGTTTGTCTTTTGTGTCAGTACAGTTGTTTTATCGCTGTTACTGTTTTGCAGTAACAGCGGAAGCATTGCTTCCGTACTTGAAATGGTGGCACAATCTATGCTGAGCTGAATATTCTGTTACCGCTATTCTATTGCTTTTTTCTCTTATGCAAGAGTCAGGTGCATTCTTCATAGGTCCCGCTTACAGACAGGCCTTGAAGCCATGTTAAGTTGGGTACCTACAGTGCATCTGGCGCTAGTCTGGGCTGTCAACTGCAAGTTATCAGTCTGTTGGATGTTATTGCTGAGTTTACATTCTTGCCCTTCAAATGAAGAACAGTTCTGGTGTCTTTGAGGGGTTTATAGGCAGAAAAGGCATATTCTGCATGTATGGTGTTTAGAGCAGTATTGCTTATGCCCCCAACAGTCATGGCCTTAGATTATTCTATATCCCTCTGCTATCTTTTAGAGTAATGATAAAGAGGCAGATATCAGGACAGATCAATGCATTCATTGTGTTGATATGTCACTCAAGTTATCTTTCTGGCCAGTCACAGAGATCTGTAACTGGAAGGCAATTTGATT